CTTTCAAGCAGTGAAGGCAGCAGAGGAAATTTTCGTGTTGGCGTAAAATCTATGAGTTTCAAGTGGTTGCAATCATCAAAGTTCTTACCGTCTCCATGATATTGATAGGCTATTCATATAAACGTAAGGTATTTTGTTCTACTTCAAGGAAATCAAGTGAAAAGAAAAGTAAATAATATAAAAGCCCGTGGCCAATACTACTGAGGAGTTCCAAGCTAGGACGGAACAGATGTCCAGTACTCCCATGGTTTTCAAATAGTTCCGTAATTGATTGCACCACATGATGAAATTCTGCGAATAGTTGTTGTTTGTTTGAGGTACAAAGTGTTTCTTGACGTTACTGTCACGCTGGATGACAAAAGCTCTTTCATTTGATCAGCAGTCAGTATGTCAGACTCATGAAATCTGAATAAAAAAATATACAAAGATTGAATGACTTACTCATGTGAGCAAATGCTGTAGAATGACAGAGATTGTTCAGCGATGACTGGCCATTTTAGTGATGCATACATTACATGTAACTACAACTGCTTCTATTCAGTTTATTGTAACAATAAGCCGTCTTTCATCTTAACTAACGGTAAATGTTAAAATTAAATTCCTATATTAATTTAAAGGTTCACTTATCTCAGCATTGAATAATTTACCTCTGTCATTTAATTTATGCATGTAGTCATTATTGATCAAGTATAACACTTTAATATAAATGTATGTCAGTAATTCCAATTTTTTAATTAGACACTGATAGACAGTCAAAAGGAGATCCTCATCATTGGGTTCAAGTTTACCAACATTAATTAACAGAGCAAATATGGAGGCTTGAGGGTATCCAGCCTTGGTTACATACTACACAATGTATATACATCAACAACGGATCATGTGTAGGATGGAGGGATTAGTAGAAAGGTGTCTGATGCCGGTATCTGATGAAACGCAATTATGATTTTCAGTTGGAAGACTATTCGGCCAAGTTGAAGTATCACGATCGAGGAGTACGAGGGCACCAATGACCTTGAACGCATATTAATTGTCAGATAACGAGACCTACCATTATTATAGAGCCACTATGAACCAAATTCCTGTAGTGAAGTGCAAGTTTTACTCTGATCTCGTTTTGAAGTACTGTTTTGACGATGTCTTGATAGCTCTTCGGGGTCACATTTAGAGTTTGGGTTAGGGTATTTGATTTTTATTATCCGCATGTTTGTCAGACCCATTACTGCAACCCATGGTCCGGGGTTCGAGCCCCTGCCGACGCACAACTGATATCTATGGTCGGCCTGCACAATTTGGGCTACCGATATCCATGCTGAAAATTCCATACTTGTACTGAAAATACGGTGTGGCATCAAGCTGTTATCAAAATAAAAAATAAAATAAATAATATCTCTGCTCCGTTGACCATGTGCACTGATAATTCTGATGTTAACGACAGGAACACCACAGCTTGTCAGAATTGAAGTTGTGGATCCATGTCAAACAACCCAAAATGGTAATCGGTATATCCTGGACATGGCAAACTATTTTGCAAAGTGGTGTGTTACCGTGTCAGTCCCTCAGCATGATGCGATAATCGCAGAGAAAACGCTCTTCAGCGCATGAACAGCACGGTATGGTGTCCCAATGGTCTTACAATCTGATCAAGTAGCAGTGTTTGGAAGTTGACCGGTAGCCCAGGTTTGTTCTTTTTTAAGGATTTGAAAGACAGACACCACTTGGTATCACACTCAGGTGAATGGCCTGGGATAGCGTACGAACAGAATGACAAAGACAATAATCTATGCTTCGTCAGCCGTCTTGAGTCATTTCATTGGTTGGAAGATTTCATCATGGGCTGACATCAGTTGGAGAACCATTGGAAAACCTGCAGGGAGTACGGGACAGCTGTTACATCTTAGTTTGGGACTCTTCACCAGTACGCATCCACCGGGAAGCCGTGACCAGTAGGGTACAACAAGTTGAGGTTGAGGCAGTAAATCATCCAAGAAGACATTGCGAAGTGGTCGTGTATTGTCATGAATTGGCAGAAGTTAGAATTCATGGGCTGGCCATTGGATCGAGTCCCAGTGAGGGGCTTAATGGTCTACAAGGTCTTGAGTTCGCACTCTAGCGGTGGGTGCGTAGTACTACTGAAGAGTCCCGGACTAGGACGGAGGAAACATCTGTCCAGTACTCTCAGGTTTTCCAGTGGTTGTATAACTGATGTCAGCTCATGATGAAATCTTCCAACCAATCAAACAAAATCCCTACAAAAAAACAATACTTGAAAATCGAGTCATTTCAGTAGATTTCATTTGGTGACTTTCACTGAAAAATCGATTTTACCAACACTTCAACAAGTTGGCTACTGCTGTCAAACCTAAATTTGATACATTTTTGTCTTTCCGTGTAAATCAGTCAAGTCAGCTGTTTACAAAATGGCATTTGTAGCTATTTCTCCCCCACCGTCACAATACTAAGTAATAATATGTAGTCAATCAAATGTCCAATTAAAATCCAGTTAAGTTTATTATTCATTTATTTTCACTAGAAATCAGTGTCACAATTTTAGGATTTAAAAAAATCGATAAAACCACTGATTTTCTACAAAGTACAATGCATTAGATTTAATTGCAGTTAAACTTTGTTTTAATCACCTTTTTTACATTCTTGAAGAACGGTCTGTACTCACATGCATTTTTTGAGCATCTTTCAACATACCGCATGTTCTGTCTTGAGGGGAAATATACTTTGGGGATTAGAGCATAATTTAGATAGGACGAAATTCGGTCGAATGATGTACTGCAGATGTAACCAGTGTAAATTCATAAAATGGATCTATGTCAAAAATAAAAGTGGCCTATACAAAACGTAGACAAATTTAGTGAAAAGAAAATATCACCTTCCAATTATTTCTTTATTATAGCAGCAACATGTCATATCAAACATAAACTGTTATGACCATTTAATAAACTTGATAATTTGCACCGACGAATTTCCTACCTAGTCGATTTGCGAATCTACTGTTCTAGTCACTATTTGCAATAAAAACGACAAGATACGATCCTGCTGAATCCGCAACTTATGAAGACAGGACAAACCATTAACGTGGAGAGCTTTTACTGTCTCGAATTGACAGCGAATAGAGTTGACAGCAGTTGCCCATATATATGTATATATATATATATACATATATATATATATATATACATATATATATGCTCTAGACGGCTTTGAGACAGACACTAATTATATTGATAATTTAAATTGTCCAGAAACCAGTAGGATTGCAAGACCATAATTGGGCGGGGAAATACAAACAGCACTTTAATGTAAAGATAAATTTAGGATTTTAGAAAAATTAGGTCTGTATAACATAATCACTTGCAGCCAACAGGCTAAGAGGGTCGAGTCAGACCAGGCCAAGGAAAACACAGTTTTCAACCAACACCCTTGACAAAATATTACACAGCTTTGTTAAAAATTATTTCTACTCCCACATTTTACAGGTGGAATTTCAAAGATAGAAAACCGACTCTTGGCTACAATAAGCTGACATGACGACATGCTGTTCATAGTGCCATGCTAGATATCCCGCTGACATGTTTTACTCTGAAATGTTGTTATTAGCTGCCAGAAGAGAGCCTTGGACCTAGGTTTCGTGCTTGTTGTCATTCATCACCAAGACGTAACTGCAATATTGAAGGAACTCATGTCCCTTCTGAGATTCAAACCTATGTCACCCAATGCTGCAGTCAGAGGCGTTACCATTTAATGACAAAAATTCTGAATGCACTGTAATGGCTAGCCACCCACCATGTTGGCCACATTGCAAACTTGACTGACAGAGTTCAGTCTGTACCAAACAAAGGACTAGACACATTAAACTAGTTACTAACTAGTGTCCAATCAAAGTTTCTGATACATTCCTACTAGTCAGTCGCGAGCCCAAATAGCTCAGTGGTAATTTCTCGGACTGCATCACTGGTTGGCAAGAGTTTGAATCTCAGAATGGACATAAGTGCCAACTACCATGGAACCTAGGTCAAATGCTTCCTTCCTATTGCCTCCAACAGTTTAGGAACAAGAATTTTGAGAAACTATTTTCTTGTAAGTCAACGGGAGGGATTTGAAAGAGGTTACTTCATTCACTTATTTAGGGAGCATTGTCTCAACTACAGGAGGAACGGACGAGGATGTCAAATCGAGAATCGAGAAGGCGAGAAAAACATTCATCAACCTGAAACCAATCTGGAAATCTTCATCCCAACAACAAAATTTGGATTTTTAATACAAACATCAAGTCAGTTCTTCTATACGGATCAGAAACTTGGCGGGTCACCAAGAATGTTTCCAACAGCCTGTTGCAGACCTTTATCAACAACTGTCTTCGTTCTATACTCAAGATCAGATGGCCGGAAAGAATCACCAACAAGGAACTATGGGAACAAACAAAACAAAAAAACAATCGCCCAACAAATATGCAGGAGAAAGTGGAGATGGATTAGACACTCGCTGAGGAGACCGCTGGTGACATCGCGCGTCAGGCTCTCAAGTGGAACCCGGAAGGGAAGCGGCGAGTGGGACATCCAAGGGTGACATGGAGGAGATCGTGTAAAGAGGAGCTGAAACAGTATGGACTAACATGGATGCAGGTGAAAAGTACAGCAGAAGACAGAAACAAGTGGAGACGTGTAGTTGAAGCCCTTTGTTCCACTAGGAACCCAAGGGAACTATAATAATAATAATTTTCTTGTAAGCGTATAGTAATCAAGTTAGCTATCATCCTAGATGGATATATATATATATATCATATTGTTGCAGATTGGTTTGTTTAAAGAAATAAGACTGATTAACCAATCCGAAGCCGTCTATTAAGGTGACTTAGGTATAAGAAAGTAGATCAATTGATTAACTATTGATTGAAATGCCACCATTTATTCCTCTCAATGATATATTATTGTTGTTTAAAATGCTTCGGAAGGAGTAAAAATAGTATTATTATCATTATTATTGTTGATATTTTTACTATAATTATTTAATTATTAACGGCAATAACAGCAAACATGTAAGAAACGCATAAAGATATATTTATGGAAATAGGTATCATGGATATAAATGCATTATTTGTATATTTTTTTTTATATACTTCAAATTCTGTATAACTGTACAACTGCAATTCAGAGAACACAAATGAAATATAATAACTGTTCTTATAATCAATTACTCCTCTGTTGTCTTCTCAAAATTAACTCAGATTATTTTCATGCAGCTTGTTTGTTCCCTTGTAGTTCAAAGGTGAAAAAAGTAGGAAAGAAAAAACAGCAATAATAATAATAGTAATGATAATAATAAATAACACTGGCAATCGATTCATCTGGTGATTACTACTCATACATATATATATATATATATATATATATATATAGGTATATAGGTATATGTGTATACAAACAGGCAGGCAGAGAGAGAAATTTACATGGAGGTTGTAGGACTCGACACGAAAGTGAAACAGTTAACCAGAGAAGAATAAAAAAAGAAGGATTTGGGGGAATGCACAAAACTCTTGAGATAAACGTTAAGACAAGAAGCGTTCAGTGAATAGGGGAAAAATGGAATACGATGCAATGCGATGCGATGTAAACCAAGAAGAAGATAAAATCAGCATTCTGGTGTGTATGTTGTATAACACCAGTCAGTTATAGTCCATATATTTATTGATTTGTTTCTTTGTTTGTTTTTGACAAATGTATCATATGTTTATACGTATAAGGGTATCTCGTTCACTTGTCTTATTTATTGTTGTCTGTCATGAATTATGCAATAGTAGAATACAACTTATCAAATATATTTATGCATTGTGTATTATTATAATTGGATTACATAGACACAGACAACTAAATGTATAAAAGTTATGTGGCGTTATTCTGATAGAAGCCTTGTGGACAGCAGACAGAAGGAGAAAGGGCACTGCAAGATGATGATCATGATGATGATGATGATAAGAAGCAGAGGACAAAACAGAAATTCGCATTTTAACTAATTTTTTCACGTTTTTTTTTGTGTGAAAGAAAACAGGAGAAACGAATGAAGTATACGTAAATTTGTATGTGTGTGTATGTGTTTGCAGGCAAGAATTCTTGTTTTTGTCACTTGCAATTATGACAGTGTTTTTCCTTTCTGTTTCTTCTTCTTCTTCTTCTTTATTTAAATGAGGAATATCTGAGTTCGAGGTGAAGCTGGAAGGCGATTGAGGGAGTGAAGCGGGGAGGTAGGGGGTGGGCAAAGGAGAGACATTACTTCGAAGAATCATCGGTTTCTTCTTTTGAGCATGTATTTACATCAGATAGACTACAAGTACTGTTGCCAGTGGTGGCATCACCATCGGATTCAATGTGAACGGCACTGGTGCTAATTGTGGTAGTCGTTGAAGTGGTTCCACTGGTAATCGTTGTTGCTGTTGTCCTAACCACAGTATTACTATTACCAGTACTACTGCTGGAAGTTGTCGAACCAGCTTTGGCAGGATCTGAAGTATTCTGAGCTAGACATGTACTACTAGTTGATGTAGTAATACTATTTGAAGAAGGAGAAATTGCTGTAGGAGTGACAGGTCGATGACCTGTCGCGGGATTCAGTTTACTGTCTCTCATATGTCTTGAAGTGGATAAGCCTAACAACTGTAAATCTTGTATATTATTCATACCAGCATCAGCTTTAGCGGCTGCTGCTGCAACCCCAGGTAGACTTAGACTCGGTGTATTCTGTGTACTGAATGTACTACCGAATGTGCTTAGAAATGAGAATGGTGATGTATAAGTGGTTGAGTGAACTAAGTGAGAGACTGGTTCATCCAACTCATCAGTTGCCTCTTGCAGGGATGCTGCTAATGCTGCAGTAGCCGCTGCTTTTGCTGTCTCCCTGGCTTCTTTCAGCATGGTTAAGTAAACTTCTGATCGAAGGAAACGTCGATAGGAGTCTTTCTCCATCAATGCTTGTATGCGTTTCTGAGCATTCTCTAAAGTGTTAACTGTAGGATTAGAAAGGTCAGCTTCAGTTTGTAGACGTGTTTTAGAGTCTAAATTAACCTAATGATACAAAATAATAAATCGATTAATAACGAAGAATAAAACAACAACAACAACAATGACAAAAAATAAATAAGGTAGTATATATATATATATACAAGTTCATCATCCCCACTGGTGACACTAAAGAATTTCAAATATAGATCTATTCACAAACCAGAACTAGTTAGGGAAATCCAAGAAGGAGTGGATAGTTATTTTGCCCTGATTCGAGATTATTTATCAGCGTACACCCACGAGACGTCCAGATTACGAGGCTGATTTCGTCGATTACTCAGCTACTTAGGCCGGAATTCAGTGACCCAAGAAATCTAACTTCCGTCAACTTGTGATACAGATCTTCGCCTAGCAAAAACCATTGGTTAGCATCCAGTTCAACTTAGCATGATGGACCTGTCTGATCATGACCTGCCATTATAACTTAAAGACATCCACCCCGTAGGTGTTTGTAACGTGGAAATTGATATTCAGATAACAGGTTTTATAGGGTTTAGGATTGTGTTTGTGCCTTATCGCAGGTTAACTGACATTGAAAGCTGAGTACAATTGAACTCTTTGAAAGAACTTCTGCGCATGAATTATAAATCTCATCCTCATACTAAGAACAGAATCCTGGCACTCCAAAGTTTGAGTTACGAGAGTAATTTCGCTGAATGCCAACTATACGTCAATATAAGTTTGAATGCTTAATTCCGAGTAGTTTATTTAGCAATTTATACACTAAAATCGATTTACCAGTCAAAATTACCAGAGTGCGTCAAACAAAACAATTTTTTCTATTCATAATTCATACGTATTTAGCTATATCACAAAAACAATATCAGGCAAAGAATTGTTAAAAAAAACTTGTGTTTCATATCAATTCAGACGCCTTCAGCAATATGTCAAAGCAAGGATCTTTGTAAGGCAATGCAAATCTTCATTACTCTAAAATCGGTCTGGAAATCAACTCCATTAAGTATAGGGAACAAGACTCGGATTTCTAATTCTAATGTCAAGTCAGTCAATGTTTCTTTACGGTTTAGAAACTTGGTGTTTGCATCATGAAAAGCATTTCCAACAGGCCAATTCGAACTGTTATCAACATTTGCCATCGATTTCTCTAAACTGAAGTTCATATGGTCAGAAAGGAATAGAAATAAGGATCTTTGGGAGTGAAACAAACATTCTGAGGACAATGAAGACTGATCTGAAGAGACCATCGAAAAACACCATGCAAAAGGCCATGACTCGAGTAAGACCCAAGTGAGAAACTAGAGGAGGAGAGCAGTCATGCAGCCAGCCAAAGAGGACAATAAAGAACAGGAAGTAATGGAGGTATGCTACTGAAGCCCCATATTCTACTCAGAACCTAAGGGAATAATAAATATGTAACTGCGACAGCAGTTACTTAGTTCACATTAACTTCACATCATTATGCACCGGCTGGACGCTTAGTTTACTACGAAGAGAAGAAAGGAAATAACCAGCCTGATATCTGCATAATCCTCAAAATGATAGTGGTGTCTTTTTGGTTTTGTTTCTGATGTTTGTCTTCCTATCGATTGATTTTTAAAATAGGTATTAGAATAGTAAAACAAAGACTGGTGTGTCTTCTCAGTATGCTGGTTTCCAACATATTAGTCATCATGGGGTCTGCTTATGGAAGGTGGAAATTAAACAGCTTTAATATTGGGAAATATTTAAGAAAGACAACTTCTCTCTCTCTCTGTCCTCCCTCGCGTTATCAAAGGAACATAAAGCTTGAATCTTTGAATTTGCAGTAGCCGTGGGTTTGTTTTTTTCCAATTTTACTATAGCTAAGAAAATTCGGTGAAGTTTAAGAGTTAGTAGGCAGGGTATCGAAACCTGATAGAGTGAATGGTCAGTGCGCATTCTAATACTGAATCCTTGAAAAAAAAACCAGATTTTGAAGCGCTTGTAAGACTGGACTTATATTCTTGAACTGTGAAATTATATATATATATATATATGTATATATAGCAATTTTAAGTAAGAATATATGCTTTTCCACATATGTTGAGGTATATACTAATTCGGGACATCACTTTATAAAAATCACTTCGTTTGTAGTCATAGCAACCATAAATCGCATTTTTCGCGTCTCTGTCTATATATATATATATATATATATATATATATATATATATTCTGTAAATATGATGTAAATGAAGACAGAAATGATTGACTGACGGCTGATACGTTAGCTGATTGGTTATTTGACAAACAGACACAAAATATTGATCATCGTCAATATTCCATGGGAAAAGGAATTAATTACAATCACTTTTATTTTAAATATTTTGTTATTTTTGAGATTGTATGTAAAGATGAACAGAAGTTGGACAATGAATGCAGAACACAGCTTATTTCAAAAGTGCAGGATCTTGATAGCATAGTCAACCTGATGAATCTTTAGTTTAGTGATAAATTGCACGATGAATCGCTAGAGCAAACAACTTTGCAGCGTGGAATGATTGTGAACTTTAAATTTCACAGTCAATCAGTTAGGATGTTTGTATTCTCTAAAATGAAGTGAATTTCAGTCAGGAATAGACAAGCAAAGACATTGTGAAAGCCATAGTTGTTCTCAGTATATCGAAAGCACTCGTCCAGCTGTCTGACAGCGAAATTCGTACCTAGACTAATAATCCACAAAGCAATCAGGGTGCAGAAGTTATGTGATGGCTTATATAACAGTTGGAAATTTATGTCGAACAATTACAGCATAATGAATATGTATATATAAATAATAAATGTATTACCTCATGTGTTGCTTTTCAAATATCTGGATAGTTCCAGGTTAGTTAGAAAACCATTAGAAAATCAGAGAGTATTGAACATCTGTTTCGTCCTAGGCTGGGACTCATTACCATTTTACACCACTAACCCAACGGTGATCAAACGTTAGACCTAACAACTAGCTATTCATTCAGGGAGACGGAATCCTATGAAACAAAAAATTCTAACTCCTGTCAATCCAATCCTCGCTGGGATCGTGGCTGCGTACTTCTAAGAAGTTCGAAACTAGGTTAAAACAGTCAGTCAGTCGTCCTTCGGTCGGTCGGTCGGTTTTCGACATAGAACTTTGCACATATGTGCGGCAGTTCAAGTCGCCACACTCCCTCCATGTACCACACAAAGCAAGAGAAGAAAGTAGGAGAAATGCATAATATAGACAGTAAACAGAGGTGTGAGACAAAGGTATAGTAATAACGAAGAACAAAAGTTTCATTGGAAATCATAAGTCACAAGGAGTGGATGCATCTACGCCATTGACAACGATTTTGAGCCATGTCACCAATTGTTTCCAACCATTGGTTTTTACCATCCCGAGGACCCCAACCAGGAAGTCTACATCTTCCTACGTGGCTTAGACTAACTGTTGTGGATTTCATTGACTGGTGCCATGTTTTCGTTTGACCGGCGCTAGCACTTTTCCAGCCTGGCCCTATATCAGCTAACATTGCCCGTCGAGGAAGGAGATGACTAGGCACACGTAACACATGTCCCAACCATCTCAGTCGATGTAATTTCACAGTCTCGTCGACTGATTTTCCCTCCTTACCTAGCACTCGACGCCTAACCTCAATATTGCTCACCTTATTAGACCACTTTACACGGGAGATAGAACGCAGACACCTATGATCGAACACAGATAATCTTTTCATGTCTTCTGCTCTCAATGGCCATGTCTCACAGCCATAAAGGAGGACGGAGCGAACTGTTGAGCAGTACACACGCCCTCTGGTCGTCTTTGGCTCCCAGTGATTCTGAAAAATGTTTACTGTACTGAAAAAACTTAATATTTTTGTATCAGTTAACACACAATGCAGAATACTAAGCAGTGACCCTCAGGAAGGAAAAGAGAAGTCAAGAGTAAAGACATTGTAAAAGAAAGTCAAACTGTAGCCCGCCATTTTGGCAGATAACCTTGGACAACTAATTAGAGTTACACCTAACATAATCATAACAAATTATGCCTTCTCTTCTCTGTTCACTTAACGAGTTCCAGGAAAATCGAGTGTTTTCGATTACTATTTCCAGTTATTAAAAAGCGCATATGCGGAGGAAGCAAGTAAAGAAGTTCCGTTTAACTGACTTATTTTGTGTAGTGTTTACAGACTCAACGGAGAGAAGGAAATGTGTATTTTTGAGGTAAATTTTATTTGAGTTCATTCTTAAAATTTAATACGAAGAGAATGTTCTGAACACAATTCATTGTCGTTCGTGAACTGCTCAGTTCATTGCCAAAAATGTATCATCGTTCTCCCTAGAAATGTAAATTGCACAGAATATAATATGTACTAGGGTATCTTATGCGTGTTATCAACGAAAATGACTTAAAGTGACTTGAAGTGATTCACCTGCTATTTGAAATGAGCCAGTCAAGGCATCTCCTTCCAGCACAATATAGCTATCCATTATCTAGATCACTTTGATCTGATGGTTTCTCTGAGTCGATTTAGCTAATAATGCCCCGCGATCAGTCATGTCATCTTAAAACATTATGCTTCCACAAACAATCACTTTCAAACATTTCCTGATTATAAATACGTATACACTCTCTTTCACAATTTTTATTGAATACGATACACATTTGACATCTAATCCACGGAAATGAGCTTAGATAATGATAAATGATGTCTGTGTCTGAAAACAGTCTATTAAATGAACTCCAGAAGTTGAAAATGAGCTCTCAGCTTCATGCTTATCTATCTATAAAAGAATCCTCAATTTCCCTCTCTCCCTCTATATATATATATATATATATATATATATATATATATGAATTTGTCGATTTTATTGATTTCTTCCCTCGATGAGGATTTATTCACACTAGGAGAAAGAATGGATATAGATAGCAGTAAAAATATATGGATACTATGATAAAGGGAATATTTTAAGGCAAACAATGAAACAGTTATTTCAGAATAGTGTGAATAATGGGATGATAAAATGTATTGAAGTAGTTTATTGGGTGTAATTATCTCATAATG